ACTTAATCTAGGTCACAGACAGACAGGCAACTGGAAAGCCCCTTCAGGTGTGGCGGATCCAGCTTTGAGAGACAGGCAGGTTCTGTCACCACAGGCCAGTTCTTCCACACTAAATGAATCTGAAATGAATGTTCTTGCTCTTCCTCGTCCTCGTATACGCTCTCTTCCGAACCTCTCAGATTGATGGATGCACTTTGAACTGGCTTATATTTTGTACATTCACATATTTAGAAACAAGTGTGAACGGTTTTGAATTATTGTGTGTTAAATGATGACATATGTGTTGCAGTTGAGTTTTTCAAAAAGAGTGCATGAGAACTGCAAACAGTCTAAACTGCCTGAACTTGATCAGAATCAGAATCAGAAGAGCTTTATTACCAAGTACGTTTACACACACAAGGATTTTGACTTGACGACAGGAGCTTCCAGTGCAGAAGAAAGTACAAACATAGTGCAGACATACATAGGAATAACAGGGTTTTGCAGAAAGAATGATTTAAATTATTTGACAAATTGGTTTAGGCTATTGACTATACACACACACACACACACACACTCTCAGACACACACACACTCACACACACTCACACTCACACTCACTCACACACACACACACTCTCAGACACACACACACTCACACACACACACACACAATCTATTACAAGTTCAAATGTGAAAGTGAAACTATTTCTGAAAATAAAAAGACAAATAAAAACGTGTATGCTATAGCTACATATTTCACACTTTAACCGGATGCTTGTCCAGAAGGACCGGAAGAGAGCTGAAGGATTTTCATCCAGAAGCTGCTGGTTTAAGACTGAGAGAGAGCTCGTGACAGCTTTCCTGAAGAAACCGAGAAACACGCAGAGATGAACGCACTGACAGCAGATAACTCTTTATATGAGTCACTGTCCCTGTGTCTCGTTTCCAGCGGAGCACAAGTCAGAGAAACCGAGAACTTACTAACTACAGCAACCCACCTGTAGAACTAGTGACATATTCAATCAGCAAATCTCAATGCAGAGACTTGTTTCTGTGCTCAGTTTGCACACTTGAACATGGGTCGAAGCTATTCATTTTGAACACTCTCTTATTCAGATCTAAGTTTAAGTTTGTGCTTCTGAAGAAGCTTTCTTTGGCCATCAGCACTGGGGGTTTTATTAAGACAAAGACATTAAAAAAAGTTGAAGTTACATAATTGAAGAGAGTGCAAATGACAAAAAAAGAAACATTTGAAACTGAACAAGCAGCCAATATATATATATTTTTTTTGAGTGTATAATGACGACAAGAACAATGATCATATCCATACAATAAATACATAAAAGCAAAAACATCTGATCAACTGGATAAATAAACCTAAAAAAATCAGCGGATCTATAAAAATGCTACAACAATCAAGCATGTTTTAATGATATTATTCTCCTGTTTTTTAGCGTTGTGGCTGGATTATGATGATATAAATATATAATTATTGCCTGACAGATTGTGGGCTGGTGTGGTGACTTTATTTTTGCTTTCTTTTCTCTGTAGGCTGTGAGCGTGACTGCGGTGAGAGCACTTGTGCTTTTGGGCTGCTTCTGTTTTCACTCTCCTGGCAACCTGTGGCTTCTCTTTCTTTCTTTCTTCCGTTGTCTTTTTTATTTCCTTTGCATGTGGGTATTTCTATTACAGTTCAGAGATGCCATGTTTTCACATTGAGTTGCCATTTCAATTTAGGAAAAAAAAAAACTTTATTACAAGTTGTAAGTGCTTATAGTTCTACAAATTATACAATTTTAGTTTACTTAAATACTCTGCGTTGCTTGAAATAGGTCTGTTTTAAGCAGTATTCATTTATGCATTTATTTTTGATAACATGAAAATGCATTTATATGTTGCACGTTATTTTTGCATGTGATGCGTAGAGTATATTTACATTTAAACTGTGTAGTTTTCAATATGTACATTATTTAGAGGACAACATTCTGTAAGAATATTAATAAACACAGGGAATTCAAATTGACCTTCACATTTCATTCATCAAATAACTGTTTTATGTGCTGTAATAAGTCATGAACACATGAATGGTGTCATATGATGCCATTACGTCACACTCCATATTGGTTTATTCTCTACAGCACTGCATCTCTTATTGCGTGCCAAAATACTCTCCTCTTATAGAGTACAGATTATACTGGGCCTGTGGGAAGAGAAGGAAGCAAAGAGTCAATGGCCCACAGCCCTCAGTCACACACACCACATGTGCCCTACATCAACAACAAATAACTTGAAATAAATGCTGCGAATAATACAGGTCACTCTTCACCCTCATCTCTATATTAATGCAGTGAAGAAAGGGTTAAACCCAGAAGACTTCAGGACAGGTGCTCTCACGCAGGCTGGCTCCTCAAACACAGAGAGAAGAGGAAAAAAACCCTATGCTTAACACATTAAAAACCAATGGATTAAACCATTGCAATTATAAATCATGTGCTAACTAGTCTTGGTTCAACATGAACATTAAAGTGCTACCTGTTTCAATACAATATAGTCATGTAATGCACTCCCACATATTTGGCTATGCTAACTGTGCTTATTTCCGTTGCTGGTATAAGTGGCAGGGGGTGGTAATAGACTAGAAATGCACAGTTTCACACCTTAGAGCTGATAATGTTCACATTCATCAATCTTACAGCCTGAACCACTGCAGGGAAAGCACCCTTTCAGCTGCAACACTTTTCCAATAGATCAGTCCTCTCTCTCGCATGCTGCGGCAGCCCTGTCTCTGTCAAAATTATGTCCTTAATCATGCCAGAGTAATTACAACAGCAGAGGCCTACACTGAAGCTCCTTCAGGAGGTGGAGACCCACACCTTTCTAATGCTGCACCGTCTGATGGAGCTCAAAGAGCCCGTGGGGGTAGCTTTAGCCAGTCTGGCCACTGAGAGACCCCCACTGAGCTCTGATGAATCCACCTCTGCGAGTGCATGCCTTTCATTGCTTTCTGGCTTTAATGGCGCCACCGTGGAGCTGTCAGAAGGAAAGAAGGCTTCCGGCTCTAAAGTAGGGCCACTGCTTAAAATGCTAGATGAAATGCTGCAGGAACAGATGACAGATACTGTATGGCAGCTCCAGTGGCAAGACAAACGGGAGAGCTTAACAGTTAAGGGAGAAGCTGAACACGTTGCAGTCTATGAGCATCATGTGCACTTGCAACAATGCTGGACCCTTGCTTCAAAGCGATAGGGATGAATAGGGATAGGAACGATCTGGAGGACAGCGATGGAGTCAAGGGGAATGCAGCAGACGCTACTGTGGAAGTCCAGCGGTAGCTTACAGAACCAAATACTGGGCGACTGGACCCCTTCAGTACTGACAGAAGACTACATATTCACATCTGTATAGGCTTGCTGTCGAGTATTTATGTACCCCGGCTTCATCTGTGCCTCGCTAAAGTGTGTTTTAAAGGCAGGAGAAGTTTTAGTTTTAATGCTCTTAAAAACAGCTTCATTGTTTCATGAGGCTTCATCTCGCCACCACTACACTTTACTTAAAGCTGTGTCAATAAAACAAACAACCAAATCAGACAGAAACTCGACAGACTTGCACTTAAACGTAGAGACACTCACCAACAGCAGCAACAATTAACAAAGCTAGACAACAGACAATGGGCACATGAAGGCTATATATAGCAAACAATAGGGGTCACATGACAAACTAACCAATCAAAACCTGACACATGCAACAAAGAAACCAATGAGAACAAGACACAAGAACTAAAGGATCACATGACAGGGTCAGGGATTTTATAAAGAGCTATACAGAGATTTAAACTGAGCTTCATTCCAATTCACACACAACATACAGGAACAAAGTCACATTATTCCAGGATATTTCATCATGTGAACTTTATTCATTCACTCTTCTAAGCTACAGATATATTCAATCAACACTCACATATCTCACATAAAAGCATCATGTTGTGCAGGATCAGTCGGGACTGTGAGTAAACCGATGACGAGTCACTGAGACATATTTCCAGCCGCACCCAAACAGTCGTATAAGAGACCAAACCAACAAAGAAAAGGAAGACTAAATGTGGGAGGAACAAACTTACTTACAAACAGAAAACAGCACCGCTTTTACCTCACTCCCTATCGAACCAAAAACAGCAGAAAACACCATTAAGAAAAGAAAACCCTCTCTACTGCTTCCACAAAAAAGACAGCATTCAACAGTACAGTTCAAATGAGAAACAGATCAGCGTTTAGTTAACTAAAGAAGCACTTAGTAGCACAAATTCAAGACTGCAGGCTCTCACAAACACATAAGCTCAGCAATCACACGCAGGAGGAAAGGCTCTCAGCTCATCAAAAGTAAGCGAATACAACCGTAACTACTTGCTCAAATGAGTTTATGTGTATTCCTCTTATTAGTTAAAAATGTAGTCAGTTTTCTATTATTTATTTTAATTTTTAATTTAGTGATTTTAACTTTTAATTGAGTGTTTTTAATGCTTTAAAGAGCAATTTTATATTGTAATGTTTTAATGTTCTACTAATAACCATAAAGCTCAGCTGTCGTAAAACCAGAGAGAAAGCTGCATGGCTAGAAACTGCTGATCAACTGAATGCACATGTAGCAGCATGTTCAAATGTGTCCAAATATCTTAAAACTAAGTCATTCAATCTTGGGCACAATGCATTAAATACAGTCAGTTGTAGCCTATATTTGTATATATTTGATTTATTTAATTTGCATTTTCTGTATACTTTTATTTTTGGACTGAAAACGTCAAGTAATAGTGTGTGAGAGAGTCAGTGGTAATATCAATGTGTTTCTATCGGTCAGTGTTAGAGGAGCTCAGCTTAGCCTGACAGTGAGCCTGCTCCGGACCAGGCTAGTTTCCCAGCATCAGCTGCCAGAGCGACTGAGCTTGAGCTTTCTGAAACCAAATCAAGTGACAATAAGTCCATTTGGGAAACCTGTTTTATGAAACAGCCCCCTGAGAGAGAGAGAGAGAAAGAGTGAGTGGGTGAGTGAGTGAGAGAGAGAGAGAGAGAGAGAGAGAGAGAGAGAGAAAGAGTGAGTGAGCGAGCGAGAGAGAGAGAGAGAGAAAGAGAAAGAGTGAGTGAGAGAGAGAAAGAGAAAGAGTGAGTGAGAGAGAGAGAGAGAGAGTG